CCAAGAATTTTAACCGTACCAAATTCACTAAAAATTTCTCTGTATTCTTGGTCATTCATGATAACTTCAAAGGTCCTAAGACGTTTCTCTAATCTTCCGAACACCCTATCTGCTGGTAAAAATGAGTGACCTCTAACTGGGAAAGTGATTCTAATTTCTTGGAGGGAAGTAGGTGCTGCAGTCGTAAACCAAACGGCCAATGCGTACATTACATACGAATTCTTGTTTTGGCCTGCACAACCATCCGAAAACAATCTTAAGACTTGGCAATCTGGCAAGACATTCGAAGTGAGAAAATTAATCAAAGCAGAAGCTACTTCATTGGCCCCTCTCTTACCTTGGGTTTCGTTCCATGTATAAAAAAATGGTTGTTTGGTGCCGTAATCAGTGATGCAAATATTATAAAATGACAGCTGTCGTAAGTAATAAGCCTCTCCTATGGGCAACTTTGGAATATTTTGCACCTGTTGCATATCGAAACAAAAAACTTGACTATTTGGTTCCTCCCGTTTCATTAAAATGTTGAACTGCTTGGCCCTCAATTTATGAATACGTAATTCCGTCATGACTTTCATTTTCTCAGCACCCTTGGAATCCGCAAGCTGCTTTTTTTTCCGGAAACAAAAACTGCAGACGTCAGATGCAGGGCGACCAAATCCAATATTAAAATTATTCCGGAAAATATTGTAGAAGAAACTTAATTTGACCTTCATATTGTCAGTTGTAGTCGAGTTGTACATTTTCCAGAGTCTGGTTATGTTTAGGTCTGCCGGTAGATACAGCCTTTTTGATTTCTTTCTATTATAGTGGCTCTCCCTTGCCTTCAGTTTTCCAATAAATTTAATTACACTGTCTCTCTTTAACTGATTTTTTGCTGAACGGTGGTCCCCTCCTCTATTTTCCTGGATATCTCTGCCTGACATGATATACCTAGTAATTGTATGCAGTCTCTTTAAAGAAATACTGAAGGAATTTACAAGCATTTTCTGACACACTCTGTATGTAGGACCGTTCATCGTATTCATCCTGTATTCTGCTGATAAGGCATGCTTCTGATCCCTACAGTTTGGTTTATATTTTTCGCGTCGCCTTCTAGGTATATGAACCTTACAAAAGTACGAAATTTGGCGGTCCTGTTTCACCTTGTCATTAGTATGGAAAACACGTTTTCTAGTTGCAATAATATCCCCTTCGGCAATTTTCATGCAATTATATGTAGGCCCATTGTGTGTACAAGGTCTCTCGAAGTTTTCGATATTTGGAAAATGATCCTGATATCTGAAATAATGAAACAAATACGTAAAGAGTATCCTAACCTCACTTTCGTAGCTTACCTTAAGCTCTTAGCTTTCTGTCGTTTTCTTATAGTTCGCCCTCTCTTTCGACTACCCTCATTGCCCTCACTAACTAGGACTTCTTCAGAATCCATTATGTTAAGCATAAACAACGATTTGTACGCCTACGAGCTCATGAAACTACTTAGTAAACAATGCTCGGAGCAACGCGTGTATGGATAAAAACCTTTTTGGACCATTTTCGTACGTTTCATGCTATTCATACAGGATAAAGATCCATGTGAACCAAACGTAAATAAATCCCCCTTTGAAAATATAATTTTGAGGATAATATTCTTTTTGATTCAACATACGTATTTCGACAGCTAATTCACAAGGGATAAACATCACTTTGGAATGATACGAACGCTGCACTATAAAGATGTACATTCAATACACGTAACGCCATCTGTATCTCAAAATGAAATTTTTTGGATAATATCCCTTTTGAATTTTTGCTCCTCATTTATAGAAAATATCCTGAGTGAAAAGTGGAATATACCTATTGACTAAACTATATTGTATAGTGGCTAAAGTGGTTAGTTATGACGTATTGTATTTTGCATGCAGACCTTCTAATATATTACGAAACTTCATGGCTTAAATGTGAGCTTCCGGAGTTCAATTTCACGATGGAAGCTCTCCTGCTGCATGTTCCTGATTATTCTAAATAAGGATATCGTGTACAGTGCTCTTCAAACCCCCCTCCATTTTTATTTCTTGATTGGATCAGGTTAGCAAGATGAAATTTCAGGGCCTAAAATTAATGCATGAATTTAGCTTAAAGGTAACAGTTGATCGTTTCAAAATGGCAAATACGTGCCATCTTGGAGAGGGACCTTGTTCAAAAGCACTGTATATAACCACCACCATATGGTACTATAAAATAGCATGAAAACCATCAAACTGCTTGGTCAATGTTTAATGGATTTGTTGTTGATCTTCATTATATTAGTTACTTATTTCTTATACGGTCATTCACCAAATTAAGAAGTTGATCGTAATACAATTTAGGTCTTAAGATCATGTTTTAAAAATATGCGCGAATCGATAGAGACTAAAGAAGCTCATACCTCGATACATTTTTACATCTGCTGAAAAAAATTTCCTTTATTTTCTAGAAAATAGATTCGTGCCTTTTCTCAAATGTTCGGTTCAAAAACATGCTGACGTCCATGGGCACCCGAAGGAATTTTTCTCAGGGGGCCGAACATCCCTAAGAGACAACTTTTTGTGAAACTGTACCTGTCCTCAAAACTTTTTCAAGATGGGAGGTAGCACATTTTCCCAGGGGGCCAAATCCTATAAATCCCCATAATTGTACACAAACCCATGCTGAATATGCAAATGTTAGGGTCCAACCGGATTCTCAGGGGGTAGCACGGCCCTCCTGGCCTCCCCCTGCGGGCGCCCATTCTAACATGGATAGTTATCAACTAGTGGTGGTTTCGAGGCATGCTGGAACCTGTCACATGTGATTTGTTCCAAAGTCGATACCTAATGTAAATTCTAGTGTATCTCCATTTTATCGAGGTATCTATTAAAATGCCTTAGAATAAATTTTAATTGTTCACTATGTCTGTATCATTAAGTTTGTAATGTTTAATTTTAATTTTTGAAGTATCCATTTTTAGTATAAATACATTGTGTTAAGTTGATTATTCTGTTTTTTCTTTTGCACTTATCAACAATAACTACATAATTATTATTGTCACTCTTTACTGCATTATAAAATGCTTAATCCTATTCCAGCTTATAAATTTTGACTATAAAAGAACAATAAATACAACAAAACTAGTCATAGGACAGTTTACTAACTTCGTGATTACGAAATACGAAAATGTGACATAATACACAGTGTAACTAAATATAACTCAAATGCAAAAGAGTTCGAAATACACCCAAAATACCCGAGTCCCTGAGTAGATTCTTAAAGTTTCTTTGATATGCAACCATCTTTACATTACTCGGCCGTATATGTTGCCTGCTCGAAAACGAATTCGAATAGACAAAGAATTAAACAGTATCGGCAGGGCCGGACTAAGGCTTAAAAAAGTATTTGTTTACCCTACTAGGCATAAAATAGTAATAGGTGGGTTTCATGATCTATACACAACCCTTCATATATTTCTTTTTCTTTCGAGACTGAACTGCTGATACGCAAAAATATTACATTTTTAACCTCCGTGGACGAGAAAATTACCGTGAACATTATACATGGAAGCTTTTAACAAATGTCAATTGAGAGGTGGAAGGTATGGAATCCTAAAACATATAATAATGGGCTTCCTAGCTTACAAACATACGAGAGTGGAAATACATAAAACGTAACTTTTCATACCAGCTGAAAGTAGTTCTGACGAGTTTACCATACGGTAATTGTTAATGTTGGGGGACCAACTGTGACTATTAATCTGGTTGAAAGCAAGTAGCTTTACTTAGTGTTTGTGAACCTTTTTTGAAACCTTGGAATAAGCCTGACGCGATGCCTCCCGAAATCGTTTTTCAAAATACCGTCTGCCGGAAAAAACTACGGCAAATGACGGAAATAGAAAAATGTGATAAGTAGATTGAAGCATATCGAATTAATTTTTGGGAGCCAGGCTTGGAGATCATTTTTCATGCGGTGCTTGCCAGCCCTTCAAAAGTCAACGTGCACTACATAATAATTATATACAAATTTTCAAAACTTTTTTAGAACTTCGCAAATGGGTGTCTGTTTCGATCAGAATCTAAGCAACTGAAGCGGAAGAGCTAGGGGCAGAAAACAACAAAAGTCGCTAAACTTCATTTTTGACGATTCGAAGGCTCCTGATCATTTTCAGAAAACTTTTGTAAGGGTTAAAATTTGAGAGTCGGGGGTTGTATGAGATACGGGAGGATATATCTCAATTTTTGGAAAATATCCGATTGATAATCGTTGCTTTGTAATTCCTTATTGATCCTGTTCTTTACGTATTGTTTAGTCTGGCCTGTGTAACTTTCCTCACATTTACCACATTCACATCACTTTTGTTCCGATCGTGTACGTATAGTTTTTTATATAAATTAATTATTTACCTTCTGTCTGAGGAGCAATCATTCTTTTAACAACGAAACAAGCAGTGTATATTGTGCGGTCTGTAGAGTAATTTCGGGTAATATGGAATAGTACGGGTAATATGGAAAAGCTTCTTATTTTTATGTAGGTAGCGACATCTGTATTTCAATACCTAAGCCAGCCTCTTTTACACCCTAAATACACAATAGCGTCGACAGGTTTCGCTGGTTGCCGTTCTCTAGTTTATAAACTGCAAATGAGCATTATTTGTGCTTACAAAGTTGTGCACGATAGTCATTAGAATTTTTATAAAGGTGTTATTTATTTACAAATCTTGCTTACTTTGACAGGTGAGTCTATTCAAATGTTAAGTTACTGTTTTAGAGGGCTTTTACCATATTTTTTTCTTAAAACATATTTGCAGCGTGTATTTTTTTCCTCAGTTGCTGTTTCGGGTAATATGGAATATTCCATATTATACTGCTTCTAGGTATCCCATATTACCCGATGTTTTTGTTTTGAGATTTAACGATATTTGTGAAGAGACAAAAAGCCTAATTATCAGCAAAACTTGGGTCGTTTTACGTATGAAACAAGTTTTTTTTTTGCAGAAACTATGTCGGCAAGAAAAAGAAAGCAATGGCAGTCTGATGATATGCGCAAAGCAATTGAAGATGTTAGAAGTAACAGGTTGGGCTATTTGTCAGCTGCAAAACGTTATAGCGTTCCACGAGCAACACTTCATCGCTTGTGCAATAAAGAAGGTTCTCCTGATACTGTTTGCAGTACTACATTAGGCCGAAAAACAGCTTTGCCACCGGAATTGGAAACAGAACTAGTGAAGTCTCTAAATAGAGCTCTCGGTTTTAATAAGAAAGGCGTCAATGAGTTTTTTAACCTGCTTGAGAAACTTATGACAGAAAAAACTTTCATTGTGACAGGATTTACAATGTTGATGAGACGGGGTTATGTATTGTATATGTACAATCCAAATGTCCCGAAGTTGTCTCAAAAAGAGGCAAATGACAAGTAGGTGTACTAACGTCGGCCGAGCGAGGCTCCTTAGTGACTGCAGTTTTATGTATGAATGCAGTCGGAGGGTTCGTGCCACCCATGATTATTTTCCCTCGCAAAAATTCAAGTGAGCAGCTTAAGAAAGGAGCTCCTCCGGGCACTTTGTTTGCGTTTCACCCCTCGGGATGGATTCAGACTGAGCTCTTCACTAAATGGTTTGACCATTTTTTGGAAAGGACAAACCCCACCAAAGACAGTCCAGTACTCCTTATTTTAGATGGGCATCACACTCACACTCGAAATATTGACGTACTCATAAAAGCCCGAGAAAATTTTGTAACAATATTATGTTTGCCTCCTCATACATCGCATAAAATGCAGCCTCTGGATAAAACAGTCATGGGTGCCCTGAAAACTTTCTACAATGAGGAAGTAAGGCTATTTATGCGGGCACATAATAGAGCCGTAACACATTTTGATATGGGCGAGTTATTTGGAAGAGCCTATACAAAAATCCAGACTGCGGAGAGGTCAATAAAGGGATTCAGTACAACTGGCATTTACCCCTTTCGACGAGATGTTTTCTACGATGAAGACTTCTTAGCCGAACAGCAAAGACATCATGTGCCCCATCCTGTCACAGCAGATTTTCCAGAAAATAATGAACCAGCGCTATGTCATTCACCAAACATTCTCCCCAAGGATATCGCACCAATACCACAACTGAAAAAAAAAATAGGCTCGAGAGGAAGAAAACCTGGTCGTGCAAGGGTAGTAACCTCAACTCCGAATAAAGACGAGTTAGAGGAATCTATTAATCGTTCACGTGAGAAAGTTACTAAGAGACTAATCAATGAAACAGGACCAAGTTCTCTTAAACAATCTGCGAAGAAAAAGCAAAAAGCACGTTCACCATCAACATCATCTTCATCATTAACATCTTCTTCAGAACCCTTTCGCGCAAACTCCTCTGATGAAGATGATCTCCCCCTGTCATCTTATATTAGTCCCAAGCAATGTGCTGATGACACGACGGAATGTATTTTTTGTCAAGAGATGTTCACGATGAGTAAAAGCAGAGAGGTATGGGTGAAATGTGTCATTTGTAACGGATGGGCTCATGAAGCTTGCACAAGTTGTGAAGGTGATATTTACATTTGCGATTTTTGCAAATAAAATTAAGGTCTATCTAATTTGTTTTATATTTGTTAAATTACCTAACGTGAAGAATTAAACTTGTTTTTTCTTATTTTTCGTATGATTTACCCTATTCCATATTACCCCATATACCTATTCCATATTATACTTCTCTTTTGTTTCACAGATAAAAATAACTAATTGGAAAGTATTTTTCTCTACACAAAAATGAGGTTTGCTTCAGTTGATCTGGTGGTAAGCAATTGTTAGGTAACATCGTATAAGTGTTTCAACAAATTTTCAGAAGAAAAGGTGTATTATTTTTTCAGTTATTGAGAGAAATGAAAATGGTATTACCCAAAACTACTCTACTTTTAGAGTAAGTGTTTTAAATATTTTTATGTGTGAACTTTTAACCAGCTGTCATATTCTAGAACTATTTTTCTGAAGAATGTTCAGTGTATAATAAACAGAAACGTCAAGCGAATTCTAGAAAACTTTCATTCGTAAGCAGTTAACCGAATCACCATAAAAACAAATCATTTTTTTTTCTTTCGTAGATTTCTACGCTCCCATCGCATGGTAAATTTCGCCTTACATTTGCACTTAAAGGATCATAGAGAAAATATATTCAACCACTCGTCTCTGAATATCGCGGTCTGACCAATGGGTGGCTGACTAGTAGCAAGATTAGTCCTAGCCATGTTGCTAGATGGTCGGTACTGTCAGTAGGACAGGAGATACATTTCTAGATCGCAAATTTATCAAATGGTTAAGGACTATGGATGATCTCTTTTTGTCATACGTGTTCTTAGCTTGACATTTTTCTCGCAGTCTAATAGTCCTTCATGAACTGATGACAGCTTCGTATGTAAAGGGCAGAGTCAACCAACTTAACGCCACTTTATTTTCTTTTTACAGTTTCGCGAAGATCGATGGACATGCTTCGTGTCCGAGCAACTGACCCCAGACCATGCCCGAAATGCGGAAAAATATACCGTTCTGCGCACACGTTGCGCACCCATCTGGAGGACAAGCACACCGTATGTCCAGGATACAGATGCGTACTTTGCGGCACAGTGGCCAAAAGTAGGAACAGCCTGCACTCACACATGTCCAGGCAGCATCGGGGAATTAGCACCAAGGACCTTCCTGTGCTCCCCATGCCCGCACCTTTCGATCCAGAACTGGCCAGCAGGTATAGGTCAAGAACATTTTTTTTTTATTACGATAAAGGGTGAAATTTATTTTTAGTGTATATCAATAAGTTTATGTATCTGCTTCACAATGCACCAGTAGGGCATGAAACCATATATTTTAGCATTGATTAACGTATTTTATTTGAAAATAGCCAACATGTTCCAACGTCCAAAAAATTATCCGAGATGAAATGAGGTACTATGACATCTATGAAAGTTTGTCACAGCTATGTGTCTCCTCTCCACAATAGTTAGAAATCTACTTTGAAAAGGTTAGTGTTATATAGTGATATATATATACTTCGAAGTTGAGTCATTTATTTTAACAGTGAGTAGATCTCATCAAAAGAAATGTTTTTTTCCTTTACCATTTTTCTGGTAAAATTAAAGTAACAAAGTTATAGCCCTTTGGAAGTTTGAGTACCGCCCTGTCTCAATAATAATATTATGTGCTCGTGTTTGGCAACAACGGATATAATCCGCCTTATCGGTTCATCGCATCGGAAACAAAAAAGCGAAAGAATTTGGAACGATGTTTTTACAATTATTTTATTCAGTTGTATACAGTCAGTGTCAGTCGGTAACGCGTGAGTGAATAGTGGTGTCTGTTGCGTGGCTCAAACGAAATCAAAAATGGCACATGTTTACGAAAATGCTGAACTTGTGGACATGATTCTTATTTACGCGGCATCACGGATTTATGCGGATCGGTTTCCCAATCGAGTGCAACCAACCCCTCGTGCCTTTGTTAATGTAGTACAAAGGGCTCGTGAATCAGGTGACTTAAGACCTCACAGGGGAGGGCATGCCAGTGCTCCAAGACCGCACGATCAAATACAGGTCCGCACTGAAATACTTGTCGGGAGGATATTTTATAAAACAAGGTAACATTTTTTTTTAATTTTACACACATATTATGGTTTATCTTCCTTCTACAATCATTATCTGAAAATTAATGACTCAACTTCAAAGTCACCCTGTATATATATATATATATACATATATATATATATATATATATATATATATATATATATATGCTCATATATGCTCATGTAGTTGGCTACCTCGCGATCTATGAGACACTAATCTTTGCAAAGTAGAAAGCAGAAATATAGCTTAGACAAATTCTAATAGACGGCGCCATGGTATCTCATTTCCTATCGGATATTTTTGGGCGGTGGTATTAGGTTGGTTATCATCAGGTGGAATACGGTAAAATCAGTGATTTTAGTTGGAAAAGTTCAACTGTGGCGCTAGCGATTGTATCCTTGAAAAGACTTCTACTAGTACATAGCAAAAAGTGTATTCATATTTAGTATCTCTTTATTTTAGCTAAAATGATGGTGAGGCAATGCTGATTGATATTCTTCTTTTTCATTATCACATTGACGCGACTTTTTCACGCAATACTCTCAAGTTATTTTTATCAAACTGTGTTTTTCTAAAATATATAAAAGTTTAACTCATTTTTTTAATTTCAAAACTGTAATACACTGTAGATAAATTTAATTGGGAGCTTTTTTGTGAAATTATCAAGAAATCTCTGACTGCGGAATTGTCAGATACAGTCGTCCAAATTAACGATATGATTTGGTCCACTGTGAATGGCTGTTCGAGAATATTAGAAATCACCGTCGGGAAGAACCAACAATTAGCACATGTTTAAGGAACGTATGTATCGATCAGTATAAAATGTTCTAAGAAAACGTGTGTGGTATATCAAATGATTGCTTGAACACCTAAAATTCGGCAATGAGAAAATGTTTATATGAGAATTAGAATATAAAAAAAATCCTACACAGATCGTATGAAGAATACTTATTTGACGGCTTCGCGTCGTTCATGTAACTGCCGTCACGTGCGGAAAAGTAACATTTTTTTTTCTAACAGCTCAGCGCTAAAAATGATAAACCCAGAATTTTATTTAGAAATTTAATAACAGTAAAATCAACATCATCAACAACAACAACATCAATAATTTGTTTATAATAATTATTAACAATATTAAAAGTAAAAGAACAGTTATTTGGATTATGAAAAGTTATGCGTGCTACTTTCTGCACGCAGATGTGTGTTGAAAGTGCGCACTTTCCGCACGCTGGTAAAAAAAAGAATTTAAATCAATATTGCTGAAAATGTTGGGTTAAAGTAGTATTTAACGGTCAATTACCGTGACCTAAATTTTAGAGGTTTCAATGAAAGTAGTCTACCTACAGTCACCTCTATTTGAGCCTTCTTTCACCAGTTCTTTGTATGCCTAGTCATCCAGGTCCAGGGCGGAGTTTCCCTTTCCTAGTATCGGTCCAGGGCCAATGCAAAGGCTCTTGCACTCTAGTATATCGTGACCTGTTTCTACATTTTCTGCCACAACCATATCTTCAGAGACATGGCATAAGGGTTACTTCTTTAAAAGATACGTAGGCTTTAAGAATTGCATTACGAAGCAGCTACGCAGGCAGAAGCCTAAAACCCAGGCCACCGCGGCTGCTATGCTTTGTTAATCCGATTTTTGAACTGCCTACACTTAGTAGATCTGGGAAAAGGCTCCTAGGGTAGATTGTTTCACAATCTTGATACCCTAGAGACAAAGGAACGGTCGTATCGGACAGTTCTGGATGTACAAAGTTCTACACGGCGAGACCGACGTCAGGCGAATCTATCTAATAGCCTTCCCCTGAACAGCATCGAACATGGATAATGTAGTCGAGGCGGAGGCACCCCAAACATGTGTACAGTACTCGGAGATGCAACCGCGTTGAAACCGCGAGCCAAAAGGCGATATGATCGCACCACAACTGTAACAGTATGCAGCATTCGATCGTAAGAGACAGCAAGTTTTTGAGAACCCTAGACTATAACCAGTAGTGCAAAAGCTGCAGTTCCATCGGTGACCTAGGAAAAAAGTAATTTAGTTGCCGGAGGATATGTAAATGATTGTTGAGTTGTTCTTCTGGTGAGTATGCCACCATTGGGTAAGGATGTCTTCTTGCGTGGAAGACTGTCGTGTAAAATCCTAGCACAACGGTCTGCTCCACGACCATACCATCCAATTACGTTCTTCCACCGGTAAACTCGGTCTCTCCAGACCAGACCAGAAGTTTCAATCAGTCCTTCCTCTACAAGGAATGTTAAGTTTCTTACAGATAATCTTTCACTTTCAGTATTGCTGATATCCGACTTTATCTTGTCTGAGAATACTAGCAGGCTGTCTTATTTGTATGGCTTTCTTTTATCAAGAAGTCCTAAGGCGGTAAATTTAGGATTCCGGGGACGATACTACATTTCTCGATAAAAGAGCACAACAAAAATTCTCAGGATTGCTTCTGGTCCTCTAACCATTCCTCTTCTTCTAGGCTTCTAGCCAAGGCAGGTGTGAAGATAAGCGCAGCAGAACTCCGTGCCCGTGCGTCTCCGACAGGCCCACGTCGCTCGGACGTCAAACTGGACGCGAAGAGCGCATATGGAGGCGGGGGCGGTTCGGAGGCGGGCAGCAGCGTCTGCGGAGACAACGACCCGGAAGACCTTACCACCTCGTCTTCGCACCCAGCAGCGAGGTATGGAGGCGGGTTGGATTTCAGCAGGGACTTCTCATCGCCGCCGCTGAACCATCATCATAACAGCAATTATGGCGGAAATAGGTGGGTTTTGAAAAAAGTTAAAAGATGTAGGGTCGGCTTCACCGCCACCTGTATCTGTACAGCTAGTGGCTTATGCAATGCATACAGTTAGATTGAGTTAAAATATCAGAGAGGGATAACAACAGTAGGAGCAAATATATCGGTCCATAGAGTATCTTACCAGCTATGTAAAAGACTAATCATCAAAAAGCACACTAAACAGTCCAAACCTGGAAATTTTTCATGTAGATAGAAACTGGTGG